TCGTGACAACATCCAATTTTGTTAATGTATTTTTGCCTACTTGCACATCCTCTTTACTTGCACTTTCTTTGTCCATTGATTCGTTTAAATTGTTGCTTGTAACAGCAATGGTTTCGGTTTCGTGGAAATTATCAGTTTCTACTATTTTAGATGGTCTACTTTCAATTTTGCTTCCTTTATTAGTCGAGTTAAATTCATTTGATATTTTATTTTCAGTATCAGAATTGTCTATCTTCTCTAAATCGTTTTGCGACTTCATTTTAATATGGACTCGCTTTTTAAGAAAAGGTGTTTTCTTAGGAATCAAGTGTTGCGGAGATATGCAATTACTAGAATTGAGAGGATCATAATTTGGTAACATTAACTTTATTTGCATTGGATCATGCGGATTATATTGTACTTTAGGAGGTGCAAATTTGAATTCACCAAATACAAGCTCTAATTTCCGACAATGACGAGTAATTTCTCTAACACACTCCTCCATATCTAATTTTCTTTTTCTTGGTAATGGAACAGGTGGATCTTCTGAATATAAATATAGATCTCGTGGAGAAACCCATGCTCGATCATGTTCACCAAAAAATCGAACATCTACAAAACCTTGAGAATTCATTCGAGGCATAGCTTTTGCAGGCCAAAATGGAAAACCTTTCAATTTAGCCCAAACTAGTGGATGAGGACGACGACATGGTTCAATAAACCACGCTGGTTGTGGTCTTGGCAAATTTCTTCCATGAGCATAACAATCAGGACATGCTTCAATTTCTGATACTTCTTGACGTGCTAATTTAATAATTTGTTTTGCAGCATTCGTTAATTTAGATGTATCAGTATATACACCACCACCTATAATTTGATTTATATAGAACTAATTAATATTTTTATTATTAATTTAATATCAATATATATTTAGTATGCACATACATGTATTAAATACAATACAGTTATGTTGAATCCATTTAGCATCAGCCATAAATGCATCCGTACTACCATATAATTTAGCTCGAACATTTGATTCTAAAAGGCTTAAATCCATTGGCTTTACCACATAATCTAAATAATTTGGAGCTTCAGAAAGTTCTACTGGTTTCCAAAATGGTTCTGACTATAATGAGAAAATTTGAATTCAATTTTAAAAAAATAATAAAATAAACTAATATGAATAAGAAAATAGTACATACACCAGGATATTCCCTCATTCTTTCAACAACATGTTTTAATAATAAACATAATTGATCAACAGATAATTGTGCCATAGCTGTAGAACGTGTTTCTGCATTTTCCGCTCGTAAAATTGCTGCACATTCTCCACATATCCAATTTTGAATAATTGATTGTTGCATTCCTATACATTTGCGATGCCATGATCTAGGACATGCACTACAATGTGCTTCTACTGATTCTTTATGACATCGCCAACAAAATCTATCATTCGTATTTTTTTTCTTTCGTTTAGTTCTTGAGTTATTTTCCTCTAAAAGTACATCTGCTTCTTGAGTACTAAAAAACGAATTTAGTTTCTTAAGTTTTAAAGTTTATTACTTTATTATTATTTAGAATAATATATTTATTATTATATATTTATTATTATATTTAAAATATTATTAATCTGATAGAGAATCTTAATACTTTATATCAATTTGAATTTTTATAACAATTCATTTTTAAATTAAATAATAAATTATTTAATTAAATAAAAATTATTTGAAATTACAAGTACACATTATCTATACTTACGTAATACTTCGTCGTGTCCTTTTTAAATTATTTCCACTTTTATTTGTAACTTCTTTTGTATTTTCAGTTTTAATTATTTTAGAATCATTTTCAGAAGCAAAAGAAATAATATCTAACTTTTCACTGTTCTGTCCATGTTCTATTTTATTTATGTTACATTTGATATCTTTCTTATTATTTTCTAAAATAATTACATCCTCCTCATTTTCATATTTCTTTTGATCACAATTTTTAATATGCAGTGCATCTTTAATATCATTTTTTATATCTATAATAGTATCTCTACTTGTTTCTTTATTAGCAATATCAATATCTTGTTCTTCTTGAACATTTGTCAATTGTGAATTTTCTTTTTGTGATTCAGATATAACTGAATTTTGCAAATGTAAAGAATTTGTAAAACTTTTTTGTGCCTCTATTGATGTCATTTTGACTCATTGCATGCATTTAGTTGCATATCTATTTAAAAATAATATTAAAAAATATATATATATTATAATTAAAAAATTATATGTAGATATAAAATGTTATTTATATGTTCAAAGAAAATATATTAAACTAAATTATTACTTAATTAAATATAATTAAATATAATATTAAAAAATATATAGAACAAAAATATAATAGATAAAATTAATTTAAAAAAAAAAGTAAAAAATCTCAAAAAAATAAAATAGAGAAAATAAAAGAACATAAAATAAGTTTTGTTTATAAAAAAATATTTATCAGTTTTTTTTTTATGATTACTTCAATAAAATATATTTTAATTACTACATTAAGACTATGAAATATAAATTTTTTAAAGATTTTTGACGATATTTATTTTTGTAGTTAATATATGAAATACTTTGATTAAATAGTTTATATTAATCAAGAGTAACAAATATGATATTATTTATAATAATATTGTTGTTGTATTATATATTGATTAACAATAATATGATAGAACATACAATAACAGTAAACTGAATATAGGGGTTTTAAATTATATCCAATACTATAATGTGAATAGACAAAACAATTACCATCTATAGAATTCAGATAAGAATCTGGAAATAAAATTAATAAGGATGCCTTTTTTTCAATAATCTCTGTAGCTTTCAAAATGTATTCAACAAATCAAATAAATCACTTTCAATATAAATCCCAAACAACATGGATAAGCGAAATATATCACTTACTAACACGACATTGCATCAAAAGCATGAACATTCTTTCCCCCTCCAATATACGAGGCTTCTTACTACTAGTGTCTCCATCCTTCGGTAATATTTGTAGTTAACTATAAAAAACCACGTGATATTTGAAATTTACAGATTATTATAAGCATCGTTTGTCAACTTTTTTATATTTTTAATATTAAAACTCAGTATTACATTTAATAATTTAATACATACCTATAGCCATACGCGGATTTCATTATACACATATATATTTAAATATGTATACTTTATAATATGTACAAACGATATTTCTTCCATTATTTTATTTGTTTATTCAATTATTATGTATATACATGTACATTTCTTGAATATTTATTTGATAGAGATAAATTCTGTTCTTTCTTTTCGTTAAGAAAAAACCGCCCTTACAAACCATTCAAGTTTAATATAATCAAATATTTTAATCTTATATACTTTTATGTAGATTGTGTTTTATCATGATTTAATAAAATCAAATTCTTTGAAGTATTATTAAAATAATATTCTTGCAATATGACATTTATCATTAATTTCTTACTGCCTTCTTAAAACACGTTTAAATATACCTAATGTATTTAGCATTCGCCAAATATATATATGATAATCAAAATATAGTGCAATAACATTTTGAAACAGTTTAATATTTAATCGCACCATATTTCTGCACAAATACACTGAATAAACATTAAATCACAATATAAAATGTTTCTTCATTTTTATGCTAGGTTATGCTGCGCAATGGATTATACGAACATATGATCATGTGCTTCCCTCTATGAGAGTTTTAATGCAAGACGTGATAAGTTTATAATTATCATGTAAGAAAAAGAAAGTTTATTGTGTATATAATAAATATATGGTATGGCACATATAGAGCATAAGAAAAATAAACAGGAGTGCAAGTTAATGATTAATTTTTTTAATATACTAAAATATTAACGTATAAAATATAAATATTTTTTAAAATCTTATAAAGATTTTTTATACATTTTAAATCTAATTATAAATTTATGATCGTAATTATAAATTATCAAATAAAATTTTTTCATTTAATGATTGATATATAGATAAAAGCTCTAGGTTATGTAGAATTATTAAAATAAATTTATACTTGTTTTTAAATTTATCAACAGCGTTCAATCAAAACATTTAAGATTAGTTTGACACGAAATGGAACTTAGTGACCTAATATTAATCCCGAAAGTCGATAATGTTGCATTAATAGATAAAAGTGATGAAAATGGTAAAAGCATAGATGGAAGACTGTGTATTAGTAGTCACCATCTTCTTTGGTCTTCACGGCAAAGTGATGGTCGAGAACTCTGGGTACAATTTATTAAACAAAAATTATTTTAATCATTATTTATTGTCCATAAATTTATGTTTTTTCAATGCTTTGTTTTCAGCTATTATACCGAAATATTGATCTTATAGAAAAAAAATTGAATACTCAAAGTCCAGGTGGTAGTATTATTTTAAAATGTAAAGATTTTCATATTCTTCAATTAGACATTAATTCAACAGAAGATTTAACAAATGTTGTATTGTCTATAGAAATGCTAATGTCACAAGGTAAAATATATAATTTCATTTTAATTTTTATGAAAATGCATTTATGTATTTATCTCATGTTAATTTTTATTTTTCTATTTATCACAGAGCAAACTTTGCAATATCCTTTTTTTAATAAACCACAAATAACTAATAATACTATGATATTAGAAGATGGATGGACTGCATTTACTCCTGTATCAGAATGGTCCAGATTATTAACTACTTATGCAGATGAATGGCGTATTAGTTATTTAAATAAAGACTACAAAGTTTGCAATTCTTATCCTTCTGCTGTTATAGTACCATGTCACATAGAAGATAAATTAATAATATCATCTGCTAATTTTAGAGATGGTGGAAGATTTCCAGTGTTATGTTACAGGCATGAAGGAGGAGTATGCTATTTTTTATTATACAAAATAATGAATAATAATACATTAAAAATATATTTATATCTATATAAATAATTACTAATTTACATTTATAAAATGGATATTACAGAGTATCTTGTTAAGAAGCAGTCAACCAATGTGTGGTACTAATGGTAAAAGATGCAAAGAAGATGAAAGATTATTAAATGCAGTCTTAGGTCCAGGAAGACGTGGGTAAATATAATATATATTTAAACTTATATTTTAATTAGTCTTAGAAATTTTAAATTATGATTTGATCAATTTTAATGTTCAACAATAGAAAATTATATTTCTGCAATCTAAACAATATCATTAATGCAAAATTTGTTAATAGTTATATAATAGATACAAGGTCAATTGCACAAGCTCAAAGTTCCAGAGCTAAGGGTGGTGGTACAGAAATGGATGCTGCTTATCCGCAGTGGCGGAAAGTACATAAAGCAATTCCACGGTCGCATGATTTAGCAGATAGTTTTTTTAAATTAATAGAGGCTTGTAATGACATAACATGTTCTACTTCCCAGTGGATTTCAAGACTTGATAATAGTGGATGGTTATCTGCTGTACAAAGTGCTTTAAATGCTGCTTGTGTAACTGCTCAGTGTCTTCATCAAGAAGTTGCAGCTGTATTAGTTCATGGTATGTAATCTATAAAATAATTAAAAAAAAACAATTATATTAATTATAATATCATTAAATAAAGACATATGTTGATTAGGAAGTACTGGCAGAGATTCTACCTTAGTAGTAACCAGTTTAGCACAGACAATATTAAATCCCGACTGTAGAACGATACGTGGTCTTCAAGCTTTAATTGAACGTGAATGGATACAAGCTGGTCATCAATTTTTCAGTCGCACACGTCATGGACCATATCATCCATCAAATTCACAAAGCTCAACACATGCCCCAACTTTTCTTCTTTTCCTTGATTGTCTTTATCAACTTCATTATCAATTTCAATTTAGTTTTGAATATACAATACAATTGTTAATTGAATTGTATAATCATGCATATTATTCCAATTATGGAACATTTTTAGGTATCCATATATAATACTATATTCCTATAATTTATTTTAATATTTAAATAAAATATTTATATATTATGATTTTAGGTGATTCAGAAGCAGAGAGAGTTAGACTTCGATTATCTGAACGAACATGTAGTTTATGGTCATATATAAATCAACCAGATATATTGGAGAAGTGGTTAAATCCTTTATATGAAAGAAATTCGAGTGTTATTTGGCCTAGTGTTGCACCTATTAGTATACAATTGTGGAAAGAACTTTATCTTGGTCATACAAATGTCGCTCCATGGAAAAATTTACTATCGTGTATAAAACAAATAAAACAAAATCATACGGCAGTACGGAAAGTTGCTAGTCAATTACAAATTCAAATAAAACGAGCAATAGAAGAAATGCGTTCGAATCCTGATATATGTTATGAAGAAGAAAATCAAGATGAACATACCTGTATAGCACAATTAAGTCTAGAATCTCAAAATATCTGATGTAGATCGTAGATATCGCAAAAAAGAAAAAAATTCATTTTATATGATATGCAATATTAATCTTTTCTTATTTATAATATAAAATTTATATGTATATAAAAATTTACCAAAATTTTTATTACAATTTCAGAATTTTTTTTCGTTACATATATTCTCAAGATTTTTAGATTAAAAATCACTTTTGTAATAATATAATGATGTAAATATAAGTAGCACACATTGATATACATATATTGTTTATTCATATTATTTATTTTTAAACAATTTGTTATAATATGTATATGATGTATATATTTAAAGTAGGAAAAACAATTATCTATCATTTTTATTTACATGATATAATTGTAATCTTATTTTCATTCACAATTCGTATATAAATTTTAACAAAAGAAAAAGATAGAAATAGAAATTTAATTATATAAAAAAATAAGATAAATTATATAAAATTGTTATTAATTTTATTTTCGAATTTTACGTTTAAAAATAAAATAATCTTTAAGTGTAGGGAGAAAGAGGGTAAAGACAAGTTTTTACCGTTACTTGGGAAGGACGATTGAAATACGAGAAGGAAAAGATAGATAGACAAAGATGAACAAAACTGGAGGGGAGGGTTAAGGGCGGCAGGATTATTACTACCAATGAAAAGAGGGAGATCACTGGAGGGGAATATGGCAGGTGTTCATACACAAAGAAACTGAAAGAAATTCTATGGTCATTAGTGTGGAATTCGAATATATATCTCTTGTATATTTTTTTTTCTCGTCCTTTTAATCTTCTACAAAACTTATATAAAAAAATTATTTTATAATAAGAATATACAGAATATATAAGCATATATAAATTTATCCAAATATAAAATTATATAAAAATAGTTTCATTTCTTTCATATATTACTTACGGTAATACATATTTGTTCATCTAACATTAATAACTAACTTTTCTTTTCTCTTGTTTACTTCGTTAATTTGTATAAACTGATTATAATAAAACACAAAACTATTGAAAAAACATTAAAATCCAACAAACAGGTTTCTTGAAGATCGTTTTTGAACATGAGCTCGATTTCCTTGGATGAGTGTGGATCTAGTCACGAATAAAAATAAAAAACGTGGACTGAATTCAAACCCATCCAAGGCCATCGAACAAATCCTTTGATTTATGAAGTTTAAACTTGATGAAACGTATATTATGTGCAAAGATATTCTAATGAAAATATGATGAGAAAGGAAATGCACGATCTAAACCAACAACGGCATCACGAGACAGAATGTGAAGGAATGATGCGTTTGAAAATGGAATTGCAGAAGTTGCGGGTAGGGGAATAAAAGTAAACGGGCCCGGATTGGTGCGTCTCCCTACTCCTCTTATGTTACAAGTAAGGCCCTTAAGTGGGAAAGGGATCTTGGCTGCATCGAAATCATATACCAAAGATGTTAACTTTGTGCGAATAATCTATTTTATTTATTTCATAATTTATACAGATTATAAGTTATTATTAAAATTACATTTTTGTATATTTTTTTTAAATATATATATTATATATAATAATGAATAAAAAAAATATA